CGGTCCAAAGACCGGCGCTCCCCGCCCGAGGCTCCCCGTATGCTGGGAGCCCACCCTCCGGGAGCCAGTAGGCAGGAAGCTAGCCAGCCAGAAGGCTGGCACTCCCCACCCACGGCTCCCTGTGCGCCGAAAGCCCTCCTTCAGGGGAACGATGAGGCCGGGAGTGAGTTGCCGGTCCGAAGACCAGCGCTCCCCACCCGAGGCTCCCCATGCACTAGGGGCCCACCCTCTGGGAGCCACCAGGCAGGAAGCTAGCCAGCTGGAAGACTGGCGCTCCCCACCCGTGGCTCCCTGTGTGCCGGAAGCCCTCCGTCCGGGGAACGACGAGGTCGGGAGTGAGTCGCCGGTCCAAAGACCCCAAAAGACCGGCGCTCCCCGCCCGAGGCTCCCCGTGCGCTGGGGGCCCACCCTCTGGGAGCCAGCAGGCAGGAAGCTAGCCAGCCAGAAGGCTGGCGCTCCCCACCCGCAGCTCCCTGTGCGCCGGAAGCCCTCCTTCCGGGGAATGACGAGGCCAGGAGTGAATCGCCGGTCCGAAGACCCCAAAACACCAGCGCTCCCCGCCCGAGGCTCCCCGTGCGCCGGGGGCCCACCCTCTAGCCCCGTGTGTTTAAACACCCCACTTGCCAAGCTAAGGCTGGCTTCAGATGCATTACACAGGGCTCCACATCCATAGTGGTCATCTTGTTTTAAAGTTCTGCTGTTCCTGCCTTGGAATTATTAACAATTTCGGAACAAGAGTGTCTGCATTTTCATTTTGCTTTGGGTTCTGCAAATAATGTAGCTTTTCCTGGTGAGGAGAAGGTTTCTTAGCTGGTATCATGAACCATCAAATGCAACTCTGTTTGGAGCACATTTTGCCCTTCTACTCTGCCTCGACACTGTGTGCTCCATTTTACAGTAACCCCATAGACAGTTACAGCTGTAGACATCACCACCCCATTTTAAGGAATCTGGGGCTCATATACACTGGCACTTCTCCCCTGGGATTTTAGTCTCCCTGACTCCATCTTCTTGTCTCTCAGTCCTTTCTTCACAATTTCCAGAATATCCTTTCAAAAACTTTCTTTGCCTCTCAGAGACCTACAAGAAAATGTCCACATTCCTTATATGGCTCACAAAGTTCCTCTCCAGACATACCAGCGTTCTGTCACTCACCAAACGGGCTCTGCTTCAGGGCCTTTGTTGTCCTTGCTGCTCCTTCTGCCTAGAGCACTCTTGGCAACAATATCCAGGTCTCTGCTTAAATGCTACCATCTCAGAAAACTTTCCTTGGCTACCCTCTATCAGCCAGTGTGCACAAACACACACACACACACACACACACACACACTTGTTTGCTAGCCATGCATAATTTTTCTTCTCAACACTCATAATAATCTAGCATATTACATTTTTACCTGTTTACTTGTGTATTATTTGTCTCCTCTAAGACAGTTCTTGGTATAAAGGAGCAACGTAAGTATTTCTTGAGTCTCTCCTAAGTCATCTGTCACCACTAACCCATTCCCACTGGAGACTTCAAGCACACCATGTGTATCGAGGACCCCTGGCATGTTAGAGACTCCCTTCTACCAAGAGTCACTCAGCTTCGAGCCTTGCTAAGCTCCTCCTCTGAGCTCTCTGGACAGCCTGTGTTGGCCCCAACCAGGGCTCTCCTATCTGACCTCCCCTGACCCAGCTGCCATGTGAGCTGAGCTCCATAGTGCCACCACCAGCATCCTACCTGCTGCCACAAACAGAAGGTCCTCTCCACATCTGGCCACTGCCACTTACCAAAGGGAAAGCAGTACTTGCTCCTCAGTTGTCCTTACTAGGTTAGTTCCAAAATGCAATTGTTATGAAAAGAAGCTAGTTAAAAAAAAAAAAAAGAAGAAACTTGTTGCCATGAAAAACTAAAGAATGCTTCTTTTCTTTTTCTCCTTTTTTTTTTTTTTGAAAACTCAAAACTCAATAAGAAAATATTCTTTTTTAAAAAAAATGGCTTTGAGTTAGATATAGACCAAACATACACAAAAGGTTGGGGAATATGTACAAAAATTTTTTTAAGATTCTCCAATTCCACACTCAGGCTTTTATAAACTGCCAAAGCTAAAGGTGTTAAGTAATAAATTATAGATGTGGTTGGAACAAAAATGATCACAGAGCCCCAGCCCTCAGGCCTCAAAAGAAATATTTGAGCCCTACATTTTAAAAGAGATATGTGTTTTAAATTAAAACATGTGTAACATATGTCTTCCTTTATTACCAACTCCTCAACGTAGCCTCTGTTCCTTTTGCAGCCACATCTTCCCTGGGCGAGCACACTGCTCATTGCTTTGCAGTTGGCACATTGTTGAGTCACACTCTCAGGGCCCCATCAGGACTGGGTGGTCTTCACCACAGCCTTCATCATCTGGCACTGGGCTGGCACACAGGAGGCTCTTAATAACATGCTCTGGGTGGATGGATAGAACATCAGAGCTGGAATTTCAGCCCTACCCTTATTGTATCAAAGACCTTGCCCTTCTTCCTATCTGACAGCCTTCCTTCCATGGAAGTAGCTGATCCCCTAAGCCTCAAACTCCCATTAGCACCTTGAAAGACATCTCAATCTCCTTTGTTTTTCCCACCCTTTAATCCAATCATTAGACTGAATGCAGTCATCATTCAATCACTAAATGACAGGTCGGAAGTCCACTTACACATTTTATCTATCAACTCAACCAAATGATGAAGAAGAGCCTAAGGAAGTCAAGGAACAAGAGGAAGTCAAAAAAGATCATCCTATTCGCCGCCATTACCGCAGGAAAATAGAACTGGATAAAGAATGGATACAGAAAAAGTCAAAGGTAAGGATGGCAGTGTGTTGGTATCCTCACTCTAGTCAGGGTTTCTGTTTGTTTTTGTTGGTTGGTTGGTTGGTTGGTTGGCTGTTTCACTGGTTGGTTTTAGCTCAAGCAAGGCACACACACACCATCAGAGCTGTCAACTGCAATACACAATGTGAACATAAGAAAAATGTATCCAATACATGGAGATACAGCTGAGCATGTGGGTTATTAGCAGTGTGAATAGGGCTTTTACTAAAGTTTGTTCAGAGTTCTGCCTGCAGGGCCTGTGCTAGGCAACTGGATGTGAGGGAATAGAACAAAGAAAATGCATATTATTATATAGAAGGTCCCCCAAAATAAATCAGAATGAATATAAATAATCAATTACACAGTTCATGGATAAACTATAGTACATCCATACAGTGGAATATTGTTGAACACTAAAAATAAATGAGCTGTCAAGCTATGAAAAGATATGGAGGAACGTAACTGTATTATTCCTAACTGAAAGAAGCCAATCTGAAAGGCTACGTGCTGTATGACCCCAACTGTGTGGCACTCTAGAAAAGCAAAAATCTATGGAGACAGTGGTTGCCATGGGTTAGGGGATAAGGAGTGATAAATAGACAGAGCAAAGAAGATTTTTAGGATTTTCATACTCTGTATAATACTGCAGTGGTGGATACATGTCATTATACATCTGTCCAAACCCACAAAAGGTATGACATAAAGAATAAGGCTGATGTAAACCACAGACTTTGGGTGATAATGGTGTGATAGTGTAGGTTCATCTGCTGTAACAATTGCACCACTCTAGTGGAGGATGTTGATAGTAGCGGCAGCTGGGAGTGGGTAATGGAGGTATTTGGGGAGCTCTGTATTTCCACTTAATTTTGTTGTGATCTTCTCCAATATATGAAGTTTGTTTTTAAAAAATCAATCACATGGTATGTGTTTTTCAAGACTGATACTGTACAGTTATAAGTGGAAGCCAGACTTAAATGTTAAGAGTCATTAGCATGAGCTCACAATCAGGTCTTAAGCTCAAAAAAAGCTTCAGAGTGGGGATTAAAGAGATGTGGGGACTTTATGCCTTCAGTGCTGAGAGCACACCATGGCCCAGCTGCTAGAGATACAAGGGTAGAAAAAACAAGTCCTCTCTCCCCATGGACTTACATTCTAGTGAAAAACAGAGCTGGTATACAGAAATGCTACTCAATGCTATGTCAGCTATGCTGAATCAAAAGCCTTGCTCTTCCTACTATCTGGGTGCCACAAGGACAAATGAACAGTATGAGGAGCTCTTCAAGTTGTCAGGCTAAGAGAGAAGTTGCTCCTGTACCCACAAGACAATAGGGGAAGGCCTGTTGGGCCACGTGTCAATAATGTCTGAGATGAGGGAATGAGTCATGAAGACTCCTGGGGAAAGTACACTTTAGGCAGAAAAGAATCACTGTGAGCAAATGAGAGAGGTATAGGGAATAAGCTTGGGTAGAGCTATGCTAGTCAGCTTTGTATCACTAGGACAAAATATCTAATATAGTCAACTCAAAAACAGGAAAGATTTGTTCTGGTTCGTGGTTTCAGAGGTTTCAGTCCATGGCTGCTTGGTCCTGTTGTTTTGGGCCTGTGATGAGAAAGAAAGAACATCATGGCAGTGAGTACATAGTGGAACAAAGTTACTCAGCTCATGACAGCCAGGAAATAGGGAAAGGGAGAAGGAGCCAACACTGTATGCTCGAGGACATGCACTCAGTGGCCTAACTTCCTTCCACTAGGACACTTCCTCACACTTCCATCGCCGCTCCACAGCAACATCAGCTGGGAACCAGGCCTTCGACGCACAAGTTTGCAGGGAACATTTGATATCCAAAGCATAACACCAGCTAACTGGGTTGAGCCACTGCCTAAAGGACACAAAGCCTGTAGAGTCAGGATAATGCTCACTAGCTGCTGAAATAAACATTCTTTTGCAAAGTTAAGTGACTTAGTAAACAGAAGGTATCATTTTGTTCTTGGTTTTTGTGGTGGTAGGGATTGAATCCAGGGCCTCGTGCATGTGAGATAAGTGCTCCACCACTGAGCCTCAAGCCTAGGCCCAAATGTGTATTTCTTCCTCACATGATGGAGTTCTTTGGAGTGGCTTCCCTCCAAGGTGGGTCTCAGAGATCTGGATCCTTTTGTCAGGGTCTTTCCATCATCTTGCAGTTCTTTGTGTCCAGTTACCTGGATAGAAAGAGAAGCCAGAGTCCAGGCTTAAGTTCCACTGGCCAGAGCAAGTCACATGACCCCTACCTAGCTACTCTAGTTAGCCTATTCCATGCTAACTCCACTGGGGAACACATACACTTTCCAACCACCCATGGGACATCCGCAATGATTGGTCACACACTAGACCACAAAATAAATCTCACCGACCACTAAAGAGTTGATATCATGTAGACTGTGTTCTCTTGCACGGATGCATTTTAATTATTAATAATAACGTAACCCAAGACATTATATACATTGGCAAATGTAAGAATACTCATAAATAACTGGGTGTCAAAAAATTATATCAAAAGTTTGAAAAGATTAAGAAAAAAGTAAAAATGAAAGACAAATATCTACACTCCTGGGAAACAGCTGAATCAATATTTTGAGAGGAACCTTATAGCTTTCACTGCTTATATAAAAAGGAGTAGGAGAAGGAGGAGAGCCATGAAGAAGATAAAAACCAATGAGCTCAGCATCCAGTTCAAGGAATTAAGGGAAATAGAATAACACAAGAGACCTACAGAAAGCAGAGGGCTACAAATGGTCATAATATGAGCAAAAATAAATATGACAGAATGCAAATAAATGAGAGAATAAGCAAACCATAAACTGGTTCTTTGAAAACACTAGTATAATTGGCAAACTTCCTGGCAAGGTTGATTCAGAGTATATAAAATATAAATATCAGGAGAAATTTTGTATGTATGTATATACAGGATAGTTAACATGGTTGTTCTTCTGTCTTCTATTTCTATGCTGAAAGAAACTGTCAGTGAGTCTTTGGTTGACCAGTATTGCATATCTATATCTGTTTTCATGAGAAGCCACTTTGAAGATATCAATATGTAATACAACCACCATTGTTAATTCCCTACCACTTTGTTTGTAACTCTGTATTGTCTGTACTGTGCTTGTGATATGTTGTAAAATGTTGTATGCCTGTTAATGTTTCCCTCCTTTTATCTTTAAAATAAAAACAAAAACAAACAAACAAAATATTAATAAAATAAAAATATCACAAAGAATGAAAACAGGGACATAAGTACAGGCACAGTTTTAACTATATGACAATAAATTCAAAATTTTACATAAAATGAACAATTTCCTAGAAAAATATAACTTACTAAATCTAATTTAAGCCAGGTATGGTGGTGCACACCTATAATCCCAGCACTCAGGAGGCTGAGGCAGGAAGATTTTTGCGAGTTCGAAATGAGCCTGGGCTACAAAGTGAGCTCAAGGCCAGCCTGAACTGGGTACTGAGACCCTGTCTCAAAAAAACAAAAAAAAAAAACACAAAAAAACCTAATTTAAGAAAAAAATTAAATCTCTAATGTTTTATCAAAGAATTATTTCCTTATTCTCTTCAATGGTTTGACCAATCTTTCATTCTTACATCTGATACTCTGAGCAATGTAGTTGAGGATAGCCATATGTAATGTAACAACCACTGTTGATTTGTATTATTTTGTCTTGAGACCCTGTATCACTTTGAATGTTCTTGTTTTGATTTGTTTATGTTCGTGATACTCGTATGCTGCTACTATTCTATTTCTTTGTTTGTTTGCTTCTCATTTACTACTCTCTTTAAAATAAAAAAAAATTAAAACTTGAATATACCAACGTTATGGGTTAAATTGGGTCCCCCACCAGAAAGATATGTTCAGATCCTAACCTCAGTGCCTCAGAGTGTTTTCTTGTCTGGAAAGAGGACCTTTACAGATGCAATTAGTTACACTGAGATGAGGTCATCAGCAAGGCGTGGTGGCATGCACCTGTAATCTCAGCACTCAGCGAGGCCAAGGCAGGAGGATTGAGAGTTCAACCCTAGCCTAGACAACTTAGTGACTTAACCAGATCCTGCCTCAAAATTTGAAAAAAAAAAAAAAAAAAATTAGAGCTGGGGATGCAGCTCAGTGCAAAGACCCTGAGTACAAAGGTCATACTGCACTACAGTGTGCCTCTTCTCCAACTCTCGGTGTCAGCCTCATATAGACGGGTAAACAGTCCTCCCCAGCAAGCTAGGTGGGATCGTCAGTGTGGGTCCCAGGGCTGTAGCGACGAGGCCATTCCGAAGGAGTACAGCTGTCACCTGTGCACTTCTCATAGGTTTGTCTTTTTTTCCTAGGTGCATCGAGGTGATGGAAAATTAATTCTCTACTCCAATGAGAACATCTTCCAAATTCTCTTTCCTGATGGGACAGGCCAGATACAGTATCCACTGGACCAAGGAGATGCTTGTACTGACACAGACTGCCACACTCATGTCTGTGGTTTGGGGTTGGCGTGTGGGGTTGCACCGGGACTATGTCCTCTGCCTTTTTCAGCAGGTAGGTCCCGAGGGACTCCCTGTGCCTTAACCATCTCCCAGCTATCCATCAGGAAACCTGGCTCTGCTCATCTCCTGCACCGGTGTTAAAAACTTCATATACATCATTCTGGAAGACAGCGAAAAAATGAAGGTCCGGGCCCTCATCAACAACTCTGGCCATGCCACCTTCTATGATGAACATGGAGCTATCTGGTAAGCTTGAGTCCCCAGGACCCTTGCCACAGAGGAGTGGTGTGGTGAAAGTTTGATCCCCAGTCTGTGCTACCCTCCTCCCTCCTGTCTCTCAACTCTCACATGCTGGAAACCAGAGAAAGGGCACCATGAGAGCCTACTAGGACAGGCCCTTCCTTCAGAGAAGGGACAAAACCCTCATGGCACCATGGAGCTAGCAAAGGAGCTAGCAAGGCTCAGCAATCGCAGCCTCCTGGCTGCATCTCCGAAGCCCTTCTCTGGAGTCAAACTTCATGAGAATTACCCCAGAAGATCCAGGGATCTTGAGGCAGGGTTGGTGAGGGCTTTGGAGACACATGTATTGTGTAAAGAAGCCACAGTCAAAAAGGCAACTTCTAAATACTTCATTATAATCAAGGCTAATTCCCAGGTTCCCAGCTCTGGGGATAGTGGAAAACCTCATCTTACCAACACAAGGTAACTGGTCCCTTCAAACAGTTCCTCCATCTCCGAGGTGAGCTAGGCGTCTCCATTCAGGACTCCCTCTTCCCCTTTCCTTCTAAAGGGGTCGTGGCCTGGGAGTCACATACTATCTTAGATCAACCCATACTTTCTTCTTGATAGTCAAAGCCAAACTTTACTATTCTTAATTCTAAAAAATTATTTTTGCCCTCTAAGCCTTGGCTTGTAAGCATATTTTCTCTATTCATGGGTATTTTAAACACCATTTTCTAGTTAACTTCTTAGTTCTGAGGGGTATGTGCTCTCCTCTGAGGGCTGTTTGTGCAGAAAACTGCAGCCTAAAAAATCTCATCCTGGGTACGGGAAATAGGAGTAGGATGAGAAGTTCAGTTTATTATCTTAAATAGTATTGGGTGATGTTCCAGTAGAAAATTTAGAGAAATCACTGATAAAGAAACTTAGGCTCAGAGGATAAATCACATAACCTGAGTTGCACAGAAGAAAATCCTAGGAAAGAAATTTTATGACATTTTGATTCAGCCTTTAAAAAAATCATTTTTTAAAAAAGCATCAAGTAAAAGATAATTTGCAGTGTCCTCCAGTCCCAAGGCCCAACAGAGCCCAAGGCGATGCATGCTGCTCAGAGCGCCAGCTGACCTAAACTCAAGATTGGGTTAGGGCCGGCTCAAATTCAAGATTCTGGTTTGGAAGGACCAGGCCAAGCCTGGAGATCTGCATTCTGTAAATGTGTGCCAGGTGACTCCGTGGCTCGGCCGGACTGGGCAGCCAAGCCAGAGTGCTCTCCACCACGTTTCTGACGCTATGAAGTACCCCTTCCCCCAAGGCTATGGCACCCACCCGAGGTTGTAAGATAAAGACAAGCACTCAAACATAGGAAGTCACCACCTCCCCTCATTAAAATCCACACAGAGCAACCCTCCAGCCTGCCCTGATGTCGAGAGCGGGTAGCCAAGTGTGCTGATACACCAGATTATTGCCTGGGCTTTGGAAAACCTCTGCACTGTAAGGGAATGGCCCAGGCATCTGGTCCTTGGGACAGCAGCTACCAGTGGCCTAAAGTCCCTCTTCCCCAAAGCAGCCATATTTCAGGGGCTCAAGTCTGGCCTATAGCCCCTGGGGTCCCGAGAGCCCCAATTTCTCGTCTCCTTTGCTTTCCTTGGGCCCTGAGACCTGTGTGCCCTGGGGAGATTTTCAGAAACCCTGCTCATGCACTGTCGGGTAGGAGAAATGCCGGCAGCTTCCCATTCCAAACCTGAGCTCCTCCTTAGAGGACAAAGCAGGCAGGCTTAGTGCCAGCAGCTTTTCAGCCTCCAAGCTGGTTGGTCAGGCTGGAGTGGGCCTCACACATCTTGGCAAGTGGCCCATGCAGTGTCCCATCCCGGGCCAGCCCTGCCTCTCCTTTCTCACTCCCGTCTGCCTTGCCCCTAAAGTAGGATAGGACCCGCAAAGACATCACCGGTGTTTTTCTTGCCCTTCCTTCTTGGTGCTGGGCAGAGCACCAGCCTGCTGAGCAGGCGCCAGCTGAACTCCAGGTCTCTGGTGGCCAGGGTCTCACTCCCTTCGGCACGGCCTCCAGATCCAGACACACTTTCTCGTTCTAGACCCCATCTCTCTGGCACCCTTAGCCCAGAACCACATACCCACTCAGGGACAGACTTGAGCCCCATGCAAGAACTCTGTCAGGAGCCTCTTCAAGGAATAAAAAGCTGGTTGGGATCTGCTCCTTGCAGGCTCACATAAGATTCCTCTCTTTACCCTCCCCTCTGTCCCAGATATTAAGGAAATCCTAATGTTTACTGAGCTGTTCCCGGTGTGGGCATTTAATCCCCTACAAGCCTAGGAAAAGTACTACCAACTGCACTTTACAACTGTAGAAACTGAGGCATAGAGAGGTTAAGTAACTGGTCTAAGATCACACAGTTTGCTAGTGGCAGTGCTGGGCTTTGAACTGAGTCACTCAGGCCCAGGTTTGCAATTCCTCACAGTACATACAAGCTCTTGCGTAGGTTAAGAGGCATAAAGTGGGCCAGGCTCGGCCCAATGTGAAGAAATATATGGGGTTTGAAAGGCCAGGAAAGAAAGGCATAGAGGGCAGGCAAGCCCCCAGAAACTAGGGAGGGCTGAGGAGAAATCCACCCACCCACCCTCACTCGGCACCTATGCCCAAGGGTGCTGGCACGGCTCTGAGCAGCAGGATTTCCACAGGCCCTGCTTCTAGGAGCTCATATTTATGATTCCTGGCAGTTTGGATCTATAATGACACTGAAAATACAGAATTAGCCGATAATGACCCCATTGCTCTTAGAAGCAGTACATGCATAGCTACACGTGTCAGGCAAACTAACGGAGAGGGGCACAGATCATCGTCAGGGAGTAGACGGGCCCCTCTGAGAAGGGGGCATTGAAGCTGAGACCTGAAGGATGTGCAGATGCCAGCCATGCCCGTAGGGCAGGAGACCCATAGCAAGGCGAAGGTGTGTGGCGAGGAAGAGCGCATGTGATCCAGGGACAGAAAAGAGTATAGGAGTGAGGCCCAAACCGCAGCAGGGGACAGGGGCCCTGCTCTGCTGTGGGGCTCAGTGTCCAGCACTACAGCTGCCTAACATGACCTCTCGGTCTAGGCTGAACCTAAGCAGAAGCCTGGGCCACTACTTCCCCAAAGGCAGGCACCAGAAGACCTGGAACTGGTGGGACCTGAGCACCCATGTGCATGCGCCCCCTATCAAGTGTATCTCCTTGAAAATCAACCACTACATCCAGGTACAAATAAGAAGCCAAGATCAGATCATCTTCTGCTTCTTCCATGAACGGAAGAGGGTTTGTTTAAACCTGGGCACTAAATACAAGGTAAGGTCTCGACTTCCCCTACCCTCTGCTGGCTGGGACACCCACCTACACACAGGCTGTGGCTCGTGCAAGGCTGACTTCCTTTAGCTGATACTTAACACTGCATGACTTCATGTCACTTTCCAGCACCATGAGATTGAGCACTGCAAAAGTTGACATCCTCAGCTCATTATGAGCCAGACAGAAAAACAAAGATGTCATTTGCATTGCCTCACCTCACAATCACAGCAGCCTGGTCATGGGAAGGCGGAGCCTGACAGCCAAAGAGGATTGGTCTTCTCTCTTCTCTAAACACTCATCCCAAAACAATGACCACCTGGTGACCCAGTGTGCTTTGCCTGGGCCCACAAGGAAATTAGCCTCCGTGGGCGCATTTCCTAGGGCCACCATAACAATTGCATGAACCAAGAGGCTTATTCTCTCACAGTTCTGGGATTAAGTACCTGACATCAAAGTGCGAAGGGGGCCACCACCCTCGAAAGACTCCAGTGGAGGGTCCATCCCAGCCTCTCCCAGTGGCTGGTTGGCCCAGGCATTGCTTGGCTTGCAGCTATATCACTCCAATTTCTGCCTCCATCCTCATCATCCATCCCGTCTGTGTGCCAAAGCTCCTCATCCTTTCTCTTATGAGGACACCAGTCATTGGATTCAGGCCCCACCCTAATCCAGGATGATCTCCTCCTGAATCCATAATTACCTGGGATACTTAGGAAAAGACCCTATTGTCAAAGAAGGTCATATGCACAGGTACAGCATATGACTTGGATGTATCATCTTGGGGTTGGGGCATAATTCAACACAATATTAACCGTGAGTCTGGACCCCTCGAGGTAGGGGAAAGAAGTGGGCTCTTGAGATCCTTCCTGGGGACCAGATGCAAGGAGAGGAATAAAGAGGCCCCCAGTGAGACCTGAACACCACCCTATTCTTGCTCCAGCTTCCTTTTCCCACTGCACATGGAAGGCTCCACCCGCATACCCGTCTAGAAAGTCAGTCAGTCCTCTGGAAGCCCAACCTCAGTGGAGACAGAGAGGTAGACATGTCTCTTGGGAGATGAGGCCGCTGGAGGAAAAAGTCCAATAGCCAACCCTAGCAAAATTAAGCTGCACGAGTATTATTTTTGAGTAGAGGTGAAAGCATGGTAGGATTAGGGTGACCAACTACCCATTTGCTCAGAACCAAGGGTTTTCTGGGATGTGGAACTTCGAATGCTAACTCTGGGAACGTTCCAACCAGCCCTGTCCAGCTGGTATCCTGGGTCCCCTTTCTGGCAGAGCCACCATTTATCAGGCTGAATATTGAGGTCCCAACATCCCTGCCCCTCTGGATTTCTCCAAGCAGCTGAACCCTGTTCTACTGACCTGACTCACCATTCACACTCCTGTCTCAGCAGGAACAAGCTTAAGAGGGGGCAATTGGAACTGGAAAGGGCCTGCCCGGACCTCTGGTCTGTAAATAGCAGTGGGTTTCCCCGGGGGACGAGGGCCAGGAAAGGGACATGGAACCCAGAAAAGGCGGCATGGACCGGACAAAAGAAGGCCTAACAGCCCTGGTGCCTAGGGGAACTGCACCCGTGGAGGGAGATGGAGAAAGCCAGCACAAATAGAATGAGTCTCAGAGACAGGAAGGAGTCAGAGCAGGCCTGTTGTCCTCTGTAAGAGGGACAGATCATTGTGTATCCTAGGGAAGACACTGCGTGAGGTCATTGCATCATCTGGAGACCTCACAAAAATAGCGCATGTTGGTATTACTCTTTTTCCAACTTACAAAATGTTATTTTTTAAATTTAATTGTAGCGGTACAATGTAGATACACATTATGAGCACATTCATGAGGGAAATTTGGACCTGTACATGATAATATTCTTTATTCTTTATCATGTCCCCTCCACAAGAATTTTATGAACCTTCTACAGGCCCCAAACCAAGGCAGAGGGTGACACTGAGGCTGCCTCATGGGGCAAGGCCTCAGTCCAACAAAGCCCAGATCTACTCCCAAGGAACCCAGAGTAGAAGTGGGGCTCATCAGTGGGCACCATGAAGTTTCTGAGCCCTGGCAGTTCCTTGACCCAGCCCTGAGGCCTAGAACCCCCGGGCAGGGAGCTCATGGCCCCTGGGACAGCACAACCTTTGAGACCAGTCCACATTCCACTCTGGTGTGGGGTCGAGCTGGCGTGTGTGGCCTCAGCCCACATCACCCTGTGCACATGGCCATAGGCACTGGCCAGGCTCCGGGGAAGCAGCAGAAAGGCTGCTGGCAGGAGGGCCAGGGAAAGGGATCTGCCCTAGAGGGCGGAGGTTCCAGAGAAGACTTACCATGACCACAGGCCACCATTCCTTGGGTAGGGGGAACAGTGCCGATGGCGGCAGTCCTCACCTGGCCTTCTGTGAATTCCACAGTACATAAGCCCAGACTTGCTGAACAGCATGAAAAAGAGAGCAGTCCTGGAGGTGGAACCTGGCCCAACAGCTCAGAAGATCCAGATCCTTCTGGGAAAGATGAGTAGGATCCTGAATTTCCTGACCATTCCTGATTTGGAAAACTTCGTCAACGCCACCACGATGTGGAAAGTGAGCATGTATCTGGGGAACAGTATGTCTCAAGGGCAGCCACCAAATGTCCCAGCCTCCACTGAATGTTTGGGGAGCAGCGAGTCCCCAGAAGCTTCATGGAAAACCCCAAAGACCTGTTCATGTCACTGGAGAGTTGGCTTGTAATTTGGGGCCTGTCACAGCTCCTTGGCTGGGGAGAAAAATAAGTTTTTCAGAACCGACAAAGTCTGCGGCTGGGCACAAAGACAATCCAATGTTTAACGCTGACCTGACAGCTTCAGAAGCACATGGTTACCTCAATAAGCAATACATGGCAACACCTATTTGCCTCCTCCTCCTGCTTACCGCTCTTCAGAAGTTCTGTTGCGGCTTTCAGTCCTTGCCTTGACTGAGGACACAGACTGTCCAGCTCTGCCCTTCGTAGGCTGTGTGCTGTTGGGCAAGTAGCTTTGTGCCTCCATTTCCACATCTGTAAAATGGGCCTAGAAATAGTACCAACACCACAGTGCTGGGAGCACTGAATAAGTTCACGCATGCCTCATCCCTAGAAAAGTGTCTCACAGTTAGAAACTACTTGGTGAGTGCCACGCCAGTTACCTCAGTGCCTCCCTTCACACCAGCGCAGCTCTGACGAGGTGTTTGTCAGAGGTGCACTGCTAAAGTACATCTCTGCATGTCCCTTGGTTTCCAGAAGGAGCCCATTCAGCTTTCTTGGGGCTTCCTCATTACGGTACTCACTGCCATTAAGCAACCAAATTACAAACCTGAGCTAAACAGTGCAAGTTGGGCCTCACGTAGCTCTGTGACATGGACTGCACTTTCTTGAGGAAAAAAGGTTAAATGCCTGACTCAAGATTCCATACTAGTTAGTGGCAGTGAAGACTGGTATCCCAAGCTACCTGACTACAAAGTGATAACCGTTCTGGTGACAACACGCGGTTCTCTATGGCTCCCCATCCCAGGCTCAAACCCACCCCGAAATGCTGCTGCCAATATTCCACTTGGTGCAGAGCCCCACCCCACCCCACCCCCACGCCCCAGGGCGCTGTGGGAGTTCATCCCCGACACCCCGCTGTGCTGCCTCGGCCCAACTCTCTACCAGCCTCCGGGGCCAGCCGTGCCTCCTGACCTGGGAGCCTCTGAGCAGCACAGAGATGCAGTGTGGGTCTTGAGAGGTGGAAGGTGGAGACGGCCCCGCCCTTGGGTCCCCACTTCTCCTCCAGTGTCACCTCACCTCAAGCTCATTTGCACAGGCTCCATTTCCAGGCAAGTCCCATTCTGTGGTACTGGGGGTAGGGTTTTGATGTATGAACTTCAGCAGGGACACGGTTCATGTCCTGCCAACCTCTGATTCACACCCTGCTTCTCGCAGGCACCCATGTTTCCGAGAGGACAAATCCTCCTTGGCTCAATATCATTTTATCTTCATTGGCCTGGCAAAAAAAGGCACTTCTAGAAATGCAAATGAAGTAGATTTGGCTATATATCCATATTGAACTGGCAGGTTCAAGGATTTGCTAAAGGGTAATTCTTGAGTAAATGCCCCAAGGTAAACGGAGCACCTTCCAGTGCCCTCCAAAAGTGGCTCTTCAGTATTTAATTAGGACGTCCAGCAGACACCAAGCACCCACTGTGTGTTGAGGAGACCAAGAAGAGACTGTCTATACGGTGGCCAGGGTGGGGTGGGGAGAGGGGAGTAGGAGGGGCTTATACAGTAGGAAAGAGAACCAATGAAATTGCAGTTTTAGGGAGGACACAGCAGAATAGAAACAAAGGGAGAACCTGGGGTGAGAGCTGAGTCACAGGAACCTCTCTCTGGGCTGAGCTGCAGAGTGAAGAGCAGCAGGGCACGCTGGGAGCTCCAGTGAGAGGCAGTGGTTTCTGCAGAGATACTAAGAGTCAGACATGTGTAAGGCTATGGCATTTGAGTTTGTCAAACAAGTATCTTTTTTGGCCGTCCAACCCCGCCCCATTCTCACTTTATGAAAGGGAATCTCTCTTGTGAGAATTAACTTAACAGGCAGCAGTATAGAAACTAAAACTACAGAAACTAAAAAAGGTGGTTGTATGGGTCGAGGTCCTGTCAGAAGGCACAACACTAAATAGGAGGAGGAAAATTAAATACATTATTAAAAGTTAATACAAGGGTAAAAACTCTAACAAAACAGCAGCAAACAGGGCACAGCACCCTCTACCCCTCTGCCCTCCTATCCCCCCCTCTTTTTTGCTTCTCTTTCAGGGATGGGGGCACTCACTGGAGAGATGGCACTGTCCTGCCTTAGCCCAGTAAGTCGCTCATAAGGAAAAACAGACACCAGAGCCAGAGACTCCTTCCCTACGACTTGACAGTGGACCGCAGCACTCTACAAAGCTTAACACTGCCCTGGTTGGTGAAGGAAACAGCATCCCCAGGTGCAGCTCCAGAATCTCAATGTTGGGCAGCGTGAACTGGCGGCTGAGATGACCCTCCTCCCTGCTCAGCTCTCAGCGAGGCGCAGAGAGCCAGATACGGTACTTGCCCCGAGGGAAGTATGGCTGAGATGAAAGCAAGGTCTGGCCCTGGCCCGGCCACACCTGTGCAGGCGTCTGCACCAACGCCTGGGAGAAGACCAACCTGCACCTGTGCTGCTTCCTCTTCTCATCCCCTTGCTCTCCAGCCTCTGGTCCATCCCCAGGGATGATAGAACCCTCCTCCCTGCTTGCATTAAAGTTCCTTCCTGCTCAAGCTAGTGATGTTTTCTGTTGCCTGCACTCAAGGGTCACGATAATGAGTGAGCAGTAGAAAGGGCCAAGAGAGTCCCTGTGTGCCATTAGGATTCACGGCTTTATATTCCTGGAATGAAGGGGAAGCGAGTGTTAGAGGACTGGGCTCCGGTAGTAAAGACACTTCAACAGTCCCAGCAAGGAATACTGAGAATCTTGGCCCAGCGCCGTCACACTGGAAAGAGAGGTAGGAAGGAATCAGAGCTACTGTACTGGGAAGGAGAACAGGCAGAACGTGGTGGTAACAGGATGGGGTGGGGAAGGCTACAGGACTTAAGCAAGTTGTTCACATGCTTTCTGAGCACCTACCACAGGCAATAGGTTGTTCTTGTAATTTACTGGAAACACAGAAAGTTCCTTTGCCATGGAGCTTCCAAGCAGGGTTGGCAAAAACCATCAAGCAAAATGGATCATGTGTCAGGCATGAGGACAACAGGGTGACAACAGCTTGTTGCCAGGTGCTGAGAGTTGCTAAGATGCTATTTTGCTCTTGTAGGTAGCAGGGTTTTGCAACCCTGGCACTGCTAACAAGGTGGGTTCATGTTGTTGTGGGGGCTGTCCTAGCATTGAAGGGCGTTTAGCAGTATTCTGTTCTTTACCGACTCAGAGCCAGGAGCACACACACACACATGCATGTCTAAACAATCTAAATGTCTCCGGGCATTGCCACATGCACCCTGGTGCGGGGGAGAGGAAAGAGCCCTACTTGCTGAGATACCACTATAGATCATTCTGGAGATTTTTTGGGTTGTTTTTAATAGTCCCATGTGTGTCTATCCTTGGTAAGTGATCCATGTATTTGTAAGAATGTACACCCTGCAATTTTAGGGTATTCTGAGTTCACACTAATGGGGACACTCAGGAACAGTCACTTACAATTCACTGTATTAAGATAACTGGTTTCTCGGGGCTGGGGATTTAGCTCAGCGGCAAAAGCGCCTGCCTGGCAAGCACAAGGTCGTGAGTTCGGTTCCCGGTACTGGAGAAAAACCAAAAAA